CCCATCATGGTAAATGCATGGTACCTGTAACAGATACTTATTTATGCTATATCCTCTCTGCCTTTTATAATCGTGTTCTGGAAATGGTTCATTTAAGCTCTTTGCTTTGCTTTTCTTATAAGAGATATCTTTATGTAAAGTAATATTACTCTGTCATTTGTGTTAGACTTTAAGTTTACTATCAGTCAAGAATTTAAATGAATGAAGTATGTTTTATGAGTTCTGAATATGGATGTCTTTAGAAGACACAATTCAGAATGCTAATTTGATGCCTGTGTATTAGAAACAGTGAAAGAATGAATACAAACTGAAATACATAGAACTTCAGATTCAGAAGGAATACATTTTTTTTAGAGGCTCTGATTATATGATGCTATTTTAAAAGAGCAAATTTTATTCAGCTAACCTGTTTTGTATGTACAATGCTAATAATTTGAAATTTTTACTTAGAGACTTGTATTGCTTGAGTTTACATGAAAAATAATATTGTTTTGAAATTTTATTTAATGTATGTTGAAACTGTGTTCTAAACTTTAGTGCTAACTCTTACCCTTTCATTAAATATTAACTATTTCATAAGACTTCCTTTTTATTCAGACAGATCAGTTTTATCTTAAGATTCAATACTGCAGGACCCAGATTTGTGAAGCCAATACAACTGTCCTTAGGATTAGCTTGGATTTTAAATGGCAGTTTCAGCCTAATGTGTCAAGTCCTGTAACCAGGATAGCAGTAAGACCATATTGCACAACCAATTTTGAGAGTTTTTTAATTTTGAGTTCATGTGAAGCAGGATTTATAGTAAATATATCAAAGCAAGGGATATATCTTTTTTCAGATAATTTAGAAGGTATATGGCTGTGCTTTCTGAATTAGAAAATATAAGCTTGCCTTTAAAAAAAATTTTTAGTACCATTTTTTTTCTTTATTGATTTTTAGAGAGAGAGGAAGGGAAAGGGAGAGAGAGAAACATCGATGAGAGAGAACATCGATTAGCTGCCTTTAGCATGCCCCCCACTGGGGATTTGGCCCACAACCTGGGCTTGTGCCCTGACCGGGAATCGAAACGGCGACCTCTTGGTGCATGGGTTGACGTTCAACCACTGAGCCACACTGGCTGGGCATTTTGAGTACCATTTTTGTCAATTGGGGAAATTCTAGAGACAGCATGGTATTATTTAAGAAACTAAAATTCATCCACTATGGATTAGAGTAATTATTTACATTTTGGTCATTAAATATTTTTCTCTATATAAATCTAGATTATCTGTAGAAAAGGTTAAAGCATATCAAGTATAGAAGTCTAAGTTTGTAATATAAATATAAAATGTAATGATCTGTTGTGAGTTTCAAAATGCTTATGCCATTTTGACTTTTATAGTGATTATCTTAAAATGTCTGAGCAAAATATTTATTTGAATGTCAAATGCTATCTTATGGTCTGATTTTTATAGGTAAAATTTTATTCATAATAGTGATTAAAATAAATATAGATTTATTTGTTTAAAAACTTTTGATAGTCTTCTTTGTAGTAGTCAAATATTTCCGCTTGTTGGTATAGTCACAAAACACCAATTGGAAAATTCTTAAGAATATTACTTCACATTTAAAAGCATCAGTATATTGTGGTTTTATAAGATAACCACAATAGTGGTAACTAACACACTTAAGTTTTTTATTCTAGAAAGCTAAAATGGCCTTTTGTTTTCAAACAAAACAACAAAAAACAAAGCAGCACCTGCTTAATAAATAGCGTTTGAACTAGATTATTATTTAAATCCATAATTAAAAGAAAAGAATATTATTCAAATCTTTTTCAACAGATTTCTTTATATTGACTCATTATTACTATTCAGCAAGTTGTCTTTGTTTAGTTTTAAAAGCATTTCAGTGATTCTGTTTTAATCCATAGGCATAATAAGTTAGAATCTAGTGGATATCTAAATGCATAGAATTATTGTAGCCTGGTGTATTTGGTAAATTTAGTATTGTGGTTATTGGGTATTACCGTAGACTTGTCAATTTATAAAGAATTATTATTAAAGCTAAAATCAGATAATTTTTTTAACTTAACTTTATGGAGTAAAAAAAAATTAAGTGCTTTTGAGCATCTGACATGAATATATAAACATTATCATGGCGTATTTTATTTTATTTTAGCTATAGAAAGGTTTTTTATATCCTTTCAAAAATATGCTTTGATATCAATTTGCTTATCATTTGTCTGTTCATCATAGAATATGTAGAGTCCCCTTATTTGTATATTTTAGGTATGTGAAGTTTATAACAGTGAAAGAATATTATACTATAAAAATAAGAAATTAAAGTAATGATATGAAAACATGCCATGGGAGATTAAAGAAATGTTTAAGAAATCCAGTGGTGAACTTGGAATATGCATTTTCAAATATTTACTCTTGTGTTTTTAAGCGCATAACAAAATGTATAGAGAATATGAATCTTCCATTACAATAGTTGTCCATGGGCCAGATACAATTTGAAATGTGTTTAATTTGCTTCATGAAGTTCTTTTTTCTTAAAATTAGAATTATTTGCCCACACTTACAAATAAAGAGATTTCACAGAAAATTTGGATTTCTAGCTTGTCTTGAAAAGGTTGAAGCAGAATAAAGGATGCTTCAATTATTCACAGACCCTATCCTCTTATATACCTTTGTTTTATAACTTGTCTATTTATCTCATTGACTAATGGGAGCCAGATGTAGTATAGGAGTAAAGGATGTGAGCTCTGGAGTCAAATAGGATGGGTTCATAGTCTGGTTTTAACACCTAATTTTGTGACTATACAAATTACTTAATCTCTCCATACCCCAGTTCTCTCTTTGGTAAAATGAAAATGATAAAGATATGTCACAGTGTTGTTGGGAGGATAAAATGATGAGTATACTTGAAGCATGAAGAGTGGTTTAGTTGGCATCTGTTCATTGCTCAGTAGATGTTAACTATAATCATGCTTTTTTGTCTGACTACCTTAGGCATTTTAGTTGGTGATCCTTCCTCTCCCTAGTAAAGGACTTCAGCAAAATTTCTCAGATTCTGTTTTATAATATAACTGATCATCTACATTTTGCAATTTTCTACTAGATTATATTCCCCAGAATTCCTTCTGTATAGTACTAAATATCAAAAATTCAATTGAGTACATTAGAGGATCAGTTTTATTCAGTGATTCATGAGTCGGGCAGCATCCCATCTGGCAAATAGAGAGGGGCTCCAAGTTGCTGTACAGAATGGAAGGGTTCTGTAGGCAGAATGGGGACAGAGTGGGTTGTTTCAGATTTAACCTTCCTATGGGGGGATGGACAGGGATTACTTACTGAGGACTACCTCAGTAGTGCTGACCAGGAAATTCCAGGTTGCCTGGTTAAAGGTCACATTCCTGAGAGAAGCTAAAATTACAGTTAGGTTAGGTATTAAATCTTGGTTTGCTGATGTGGGGTTTTACTCCATTTTGGGTCTGCTATTTCTTTTTTAACAATTGTAAGTATTCAATATATGTTGATTGATTTGCACACAAACAAATACTGACAACTGACTATATTTATGGATTTAGGATTTACAGCTTTAGAAATTCTTACTGTATGTTAGCGACAAAAGTTTTCTGCTTCCCTTAGGGTTGGTTTTGCCCAACCCTCTGCTTCTGTTAATGTAGCTTGAAAGTTCAAAAACAATTTAATTTAAAAAAAACTTTGTGTAAATTGGAATTATTTATAGACATAAAAATTGAGGGGGAAAACCTTCAAAACTATGAAAGAAAATATAGGTGGTTATTTATATAATCTTGCCTTTGTGAACATATTATCAGACACAGAAACCAAAAAGGAAATATAGATATATTTGGGTGCATAAAAATGAAAATATTATTTATGTCACAAAAATGCCATATAATTTGAAGACAAACACAGTCTGAAAAAAATATATGTATCCTATGAAAAAGGTTTAATATCCTTAATATTTAAAGCATGCTTAAAAATTATGAAGCCAGTTATAAGAAATAACATCCACACAAGACAATAAACAGATGTCAGAGAAAACATACTAAGTCTTTAGTAGTCTCACTAGTTACCAAGCAAATGCAATAGAAAATTTGGCTGTTGCACTGGTCTCCCCTCTGTCTCCAAAAAAGCAGAATTACCCATACCCACTGTAATGAAGATCCATGGGAAATGCATTGTTGCGTACAAATCTTTCTAGAGCAAAGTTTGTGTAAAACTCAATCACAAAATCTTATTTTTAAAGTATATATGTTTTGGTCCAACACTTACAAGACTTTATCCTAAGACAATAATCATGGGTGTGACACAGAGATACTACTAAAAGATACTTATTGTGAATCTGTTTATATGTTGAATAATTGAAAGCATCCTAATTGTTTACTAATATGTAATTGGTTACATTAAATTGTTATAGCTGTATAATGGATACTAGGGATGCATTGCAAATGGTAATACAGATTTTTTATGAGAAGGAAAACAGGATAATTTATATAATCAATATGTTTAGCATGATGGATCACATTAAAAGTATGTATAAATTAAATGCCCAGAAGAAAGGCAGGGAAGGATATGTAAAATAAACTGAAATGTTAACAGCAGTATTTTTAGCTAATACAATTATGAATGGTTTCAGTTTGCTATATTTTGAAAGTTTCTATTGCAAATGTGTACTATTTTGGCAGTGAAGGATAGGGATGTTACACATGTGATAATAACTTACATTTCAACTTTTGTGCAGTTTATTGACAAGGTGATTGGGCATTGAGGTAAAGGTTACCAATGAAGTTCAGATTTGGGGAGAAACTGTTGACATGGTAATTTACTGCCACTTTTTCAATTCTCTGCATGTGCTGCCAGTGTGTAGTAGCCATCTCTGGAGCTTGTAGAAAACTTGTTAATGTCTGTAATGCTCATTTAATCATTGGGTTTTATATTCTCATAGCAGAAAGAAAAATGTTTTTTTCTATATTTTTCATCTCCCAGGTAGTCACTTTTGCTGACTCTGTTCAGCTTTCACAATGTATCATTCCTCATCTGAAACCAGACATCCTCTGCAGCCAGAAGAACAAGAAGTGGGCATTGACCCCTTGTCGAGTTACTCAAACAAGACCGGAGGTGAGTTGTGTGTGCAGGTACATTCTGGGGTTACTGGGAAACCTTGCAGAGGGTTTCAGTTTGCTCTACCTGCCTTATGTGTGTGATTTCTCTAGATGAAGCCAGGCAGGGCACCTTTGAAGAACATTTCCCTGGATAGGTATAGAGCATGCTGACAGGAATGAAGACCACAAAACGTCAGCTTCCAATTACAGACAAAAGCATTAGCCAGACATTTAATGTGCTGTACTTTGTTTTTAAAAAACCATAAACTTAAACGATTACTTTAGTATAAGGATGTGGAAATGCAAAATGACTTTTGTCAAACTTTTTTTTAAAGGAGTCTATGCTTTTTGGTGTTGATTTTGCAGGGAATTTTTCCCTCCAGCAAGATGAGATTATTCAAAATAAAAGATTTGCATGATTCTCCTTTTTTAAAAAAATTGAAATTTATGTTGTACTTTTACAGATCTATGCATTGAAATTGTTAAAAGATAACTTGTTTAAAAGTTAACTGTATTTAGGGCCAACCCATTAAAATTTATTGAATGTGTATATATCAGAACTCTGTTTTTTTCTCAGTCTTAGTAATAATATGGTATTTTAGAAAGAATAAGTTTCTGAGAAATCTTGAATTGAAGCCTTATCCTTATTGTTAACTGATTTACTGTTTGATAAAGTTAACTTTATTGACTCATGAAACTCCCTGTAATTTTTTTTACTCATGAAGTACATAATAGGATTATGAAATCTATTTTTAAAATTATAATTAGTCAAAGTAATTTAAATGTGTTTTATATACTTCAAATACAATTTTTTTTCTATATCGATATACAGGTCTGCCATTAACTCATATTTTAGGAATTTAAAAATAATTGATTTCTTCACATTTTAATATGTTTTTATTGATTTATTTAGAGAGGAAGGGAAAGAGAGAAACATCGATGTGTGAGAGAAACATCAATAGGCTGCCTCCTGCATGCCCCTACTGGGGGATCGAGTTCACAACCCAGGCATGTGCCCTGACCAGGATTCCAATCAGGATGCTCAATCCACTAAGCTATGCCAGCAGGGTGATAATTGATTCCTTAAAGAGGCTATTTCTTTAGTATACAAGCTCTTGACTTTATGGAGTATATAATTTGTCACACAACACACACATATATATGTGTACATATATACATATATACATATATATTATATGTATATATATGTGTGCATTACATATATACATATATATTATATGTATATATATGTATATATGTGTATATACATATATATACATATATATACATAGATACATATATATTAATCCTCACCCAAGGACACTTTTCATTGATTTTTAGAGAAACTGGAAGGGAGGGAGGAAGAGGGAGTGAGAATGAAAAAGAGAGAGAGAGAGAAAAGCGTTGATAAGAGCAAGACACTTTGAATGGCTGCCCTCCCACATGACCCTGATCAGGGCTGGGGATCGAACCTGCAACCCAGGTATGTGCCCTTGAACAGGAATCAAATCCATGACCCTTTGATCCAAGGGGCAATAATGCTCTAACTGCTGAGCAAAACTGACCAGGGCATAAAACTTTTTTGTGATTTTATTTTTATATTTGCTTTTATTTAAAAGGTCTCAAAAAGACTGCTGTTTAAGATTTTGAAATATGAAAAAAGAAAAAGTTATTAGTGTCTCATTTCAGTTTCAGTATTTAAAAACTTTCAAGAATATTGCTTTCCCTAGTGATCTTTTTCCTTAAATGCAGTAGCCTTTAAGAATCACTCATAGCCCTGGCCGGTTTGGCTCAGCGGTTGGAGCGTCCGCCTGCAGACCAGAGTCCCGGGTTCGGTTCCTGCTAAGGACACATACCTAGGTTGCAGTTTGTCCCCGCCCCGGTTGGGGTCATGTGGGTGGCAGCCACTCAATGTGTCTCTCACATTGATGTTTCTCTCTCTCCCTCCCTCCCACTCTATCTGAAGATAAATGCAAAAAAAAAAAACAAAAAAAAAAACCTCATAATTAAATAAGTCCAATTATTTTGCAAACCCTTATATCAGTGGATATTATGAAAGTCAATATGTTTTTGTTATACATTTGTAGTTTTACCAAAATTTTTTACTGAAATGCTTATTTTAGAATAGACTTGTGGGTTTTTTAAGTGCATATTTTTCTCTGGTCTAGTTCATTAAATATTGAGGCTTTTCTTTTAAAAAACTGGTTAAAAAACATTTTAAAATTAATTTTATCTTTTATTGTTGCAGGAATGAGTAGCTACCTTTACTGAAAAGGCTTTTCGTTTATATCCTAGCCTAACATTTCTATGACATACAAAGTTATTAGGACTGAATTGATGTTTAAAAGTGCCATTAATTCATTTACCCCAAATGTTCATTAACAATGTAAATGTATGCTGATGTTCTATGAGACAAGGAAGTGACTAATGACTCTTCCAACTAACAACACTTAAAATGAATAGAAACTTTAGATAGCTAATCTTGAAGTAATCAAGACCCTCATTCAGCTTGGCATCTCTGTATGCTCTAAAACAGCTGTCAACTGTTAAAAATATATACAAAACACACATACGCACACGCACATGCAGAAAGAAAGATATGTAAATATCTAGTTCTTCAAAGCCATAAAGGTTACTAACCCGTAGTGGGTTTTGTGCATTGTATATGTAAATATTTTATCTAAAGCATCTATTTCATCTTTTTATATTTCCCTTTTGCAGAAAAACGTGTGTTGCATTTTAATGGGGTTGTCATATTTACTTGAGAAATCATCACCTTTCTAGTATGTTTGTTTATTTTAATATGTGTCTTTCATGGGGTCCTCCGTGTATTTGAAGTCTTGTGCACATTTTTCCCACAGAGGAATTTGTGGATGATTCATTTTCTAGTAATCAAACATTGGACTTTAATCAGTGGTTTCCCTATGTAGGATTCATGTTTTTCTTCGTAATTTCTGTTATAGATTTAATAAGTAAACAAGTAAGTCTTTAGTTTCTCAAATCTGAATTTAAAACTTTAATGAAACAGTACATTACTGAATGAAATGATTTTGAGTATTCTGGAAAGCATTATTAAAAGTAGCTACATAATAGGAATGATAGAGAGAAAACTGTGTATCATTGGTTTATTTTCATGGGTGGTTGAGGAAAGTGGGTAAGATTGGAAAAAAGAACTGTTTGGATATACACATGTAAAATCTTAGGGCATATATTCCATATGAATTAAACTTTTAACTGCTTTAATTTCTTTTTCAAATAGAGAATAGCATAGCAAGTATGACATTTTCTGTGTGACCTATTAAATTTAGTTATATACATAAATTAAATTCCAAGCTCTTTGAACAAAGGATATTAGTTAATAATTGACAAGTTACATGTAATTCATTTGAACTCATAAAAAAGCAAAATATTTGTTCAACTATTAATGGTTATTCATTCTTAGCATGGAACTTATAGTGATCAATTAAATGAAGAAAGTAATAATTTTATTTTAAACTGAAAACAACAGTATCAAGATTTAGGAAAACTTAACCTATTAATAAAATAACATTCCTGGAATGACTACTTGTTTTCACAAGCTTATAAGAGATTGGAATGTTGCTCATGGTGAGAGAACGTTTTCCTCTTTTGAGAATAGCATTTTGTTACATATTACCGGTGTTTTTAGCTTCAGTTTTTTTATGCCTTCTTACTTACAGCTTTTATAGTATTTAGATAATTACTACTTAATGTAATGCCTTTTTATATAATATCTATTTCAAAGCTTTCTTTCTATCTTCATGTATAAAATATTTAGTAACCTACACTAAAAAAAATCTAAGATGTTCTGAATATATTGCCTAGTCCTTTTTTGCCTCTTGTAATTTTGATTTTGTTCTAAATCTTCCTACCTTTCTGTTATAATATCATAGAGTTTTAGAACTAGAAGAGAGTACCTGGCTTTACTAATGAATACATTGGTAATAATTAAAATAGTTCATTGACGTTGATAAAATTATTCTCTTCTGTTATGATCTTTAGTATTGCTTTCCATGCAGTGGAAAGTGGATTTAGATTTTGAATAAGAGATATATTTGTTCTACTTAAGATACCTGGCCAAAGTATAGGATGCTGTCTGAATCATTTTACTCACCTTAAGCCCTGCTCTTGGTCTAATTGGCTAGAGTCATCTTAGGGAGGAAAAAAAAAGTCCCTTCCTGACTTACAGCTCTTAAGTGGTTTTCCATTGACTAATAATAAAATTCAAACTCTTGACCATGGCTTTTATGGTTGTCTTGCTAAAGGTTCAAGAAAATAGATGCTTCCATGGGACAGAGTCATTGTGACTATGACAAACGTGGTGCTTTTTTATAATCTCCCAAGAATCCAGTCTTGAGTATGTACTCTATATTTCAAATAAACTAATTGTGTGCTCTATATTAAACTGGCATGAGTAATAAAGGGAAACATTACGGTAGTACTCAAAAAAGTTAAAATCAATGGAAGAGGAGTCCTGGACTCTTGGAAATTTGGAGGAGCTACAGTCTAGAGCCAAGATGGAGCGATTTGTAGACAGAGAGGGGATTGTTATTTTCACTGTAATAATAGAAGTGAAGGGAAAATGAAGATGTTTAGGTACAGTAAATTCATTAGTTCAGTAGCAGAGAGTTCAGTGAAATATCATTGATGTTTTAATCTCTTTTTTTGATAAATCAGGGTGAGGTGATTTGCTGAAAGTGAGTGATAAGATGAAGCATTTGAAGATGTGTGGAGAGTGACACAGGTTACATTGAGTTGATAAAGAATACATAATCTTGGGAGCCAAGTTTAGATTAGGCATTCTAATTTATAAGTGTTATAAACTTGTAAAGTTGGATGATTATGTCCAGCAGAATTCAGTACCTAGGATTTAGCCACAGAATGAAGCAGGCAGTGTTTTTGTCTGGAGAGTATAGCAAGTGGACCAGTAGGCAAGAAAATTGATAGTGCAAGAATTCATTGATGGTTTGAGAATATAAGGAAGTTTGCTCTCATGCA